TTCTTTTGAATATTGAACACCTGATATTTGACCAAGATTTATTATTTTGTGTTTTTGGTATCTCATTTGTATGGTAATGTTGTCATTGTTACATTAAGTACCCATTTTTATGAAATCATTAAACAAGTCTTCAGTTTTGTTAATTAGACAATAAAAATAGGCACAATTATACTATAATGGGTAGACTTCGAGAAACAATATCCCAATGGTTACACTTAGTAAAGTAGATTTTTATTTAATTTGAAACGGTAAATTCAGTTACGTTTAAATTAATTCTTTTAGTCACTGTAATGCCTAGGTAACATTTAAGTCGATAGCCGGTGTAACGTTGAATTCTGACATGTGGGATAATTTTTAATGTTGAATAATGAGACCAAAGGTGTTCAATTTAGACCCTAGTCCGATGAAAACCGAGCCGGGTTGTAAAATTTTGATCCTGAAACCGGTTCTGAACTTCACCAGTAACACATATAATGACTTGGTTTTCAAAAGTGTGATATAATCCATAGGCGTCGGGAACCAGGGGGGTGGATGCTTCTAGGGATGCTTAGTCCCTCTCTCACGTTTTTGCAAAGAAAGACTTGCATGCAATCTAGGCATTGAACAAAGTCAATGTCAAGGTCAATGTTTAACTTGTTGAGGTCATCAGGGATAAGAAAAAAAAAATATCAAGCTGTTGAAAAATGACGCCGCGTATAAATTCAACGACTTCTGGTCCCAATTTACACGGAGAAAAAACACCTCGGTTCAATATTCAACGTTGAAAAATGAACCTCGGGTCGTTTTTGAATTTTACACCTGGTGACCAATTTTTGTCGTATCGTTTGCTTGAAAAGATAACCGCCCGACAGTAGCAACGGGCGATGTTGAGCAGGCAAATTAATTCCTAGGAACACCGATAATTTAATAATATGCAAAAAGATTTCTATTTTTAAGTCAGCAGACAGTGGCCTGTTCATGGTTCAATATTCCCTAAGTTACATTTGCTCACGGGCGGCTGTAGACCGGTGATAATCGGTGGTTTATGTGATGCTCCAACGTCGATTCTCATCGACTAAACAGTCCTTAAGGTAGGGTTCTTCTCAGGTTTCTGACTAAATGAAATATTCAAAGTATATTTGCTTACATGTCTAATATATTTGGGTGTAAGGGATTTAATAGACCATATTTTTCTTTCCTCATCAGAAATGAATAACTTTAAATAGAAATTGTAAACTGCGTTTGAAAACTAGCAGGGACTTTATTTTTGGCGGAAATGTGGTGTATGAAAATATCGTCTTTTTTACCTCTCAAAATTATAAAAGAACAATAAATTTACTTATAATTTTTACACAATTGAAGATTTGAAATTTTCAAATGTAAGTTAATTTAACAATAAGGGACTAAACTTTCAAAATACATCAAATAAATATGATTTGTCAAACAAACTAGAACTATGCTAGCTTTTAAATGCTTCCCAGCAAACTGCAGATTTGAGCCAAAAATCCATAAAAAGTAGTTTTTCTCTCTAATAAAACGATCAAAAACTTTTGTTTTTGTATCATTTTGTACATTTATAAGACTACTTTATTATATGTGAAAATAAGAAAAAGTTAAATATAGTAAGCATATGAAAATAACTAATATATCTTAAAAATTAAGAAAAACAGAGAAAATTCGGATTAGCCAATATCCAGTTTAGTTAAATTATTTGGGTACGTTGGTAATATTATGCTGTAGACCCAATATAGTAGAATCTTTTTAGGCAAAAAGAACAGTCTTTAAACTTTAGAAGTAGAAGTAGGCATCAAAGGTTTGGAAACTGTATTTTTTAATTCTTTATGTCAAGGAAAAAGATAATGACCTTCACCTGACCTTGTCTCTAATATAAAACTGTCAAACTTAATCTCACTGATACTATCACTTACTGATATTGTCTTCTTGATTCTTTGAAAATTTCATTAACTTTAAATACAAAAAATATGAGAAGAATCCTACCTTAAGGTGGCAGTCGACTGATAATAAGCAATAATCGGCTGATGTATTGTACATCACTCGTAAATTTGTGAACATCATTTGTACATCGGTCGATTATGGACCAATGTTTGGTCGAACATCAACAGGTATTGGCCGATATGTTTTGCTCACCATTTAGCCTCCCCCGACCTGAGATTCAACAATCACTTGACGTTGCTCGGCCATATATCGGCCGATCCTTAATTAAATATGTTAATGATATGTCAATGATGGTTTGCCTAGCAATGGGTGGAGACATTGTGGATTTTCTAATGGTGACCCCAGCCGATTTGCCAAATGGCCCCAGTCTCGGTCCGATTACTATACCTGACCGGAAAGCAACCACGCCTAGGCCTTTTTATCAAAATGGCATCGGTTTTCATGTTATACCCAGTTGCTGGATTGTGTGACTGATACTTAAGCCGCAGCTTGATTTTCACCGTCGGTCAACATTACGGAAAACCTCATTCCAAAAGTATTAGTCACATTATCCAGCGATAGGGTATACGATGAGAAACCGATGCGTTTTTTTATGAAAATGGCGTGGGTGCCGATCGGGCACCACTAGTGATCGGAAGGTGACTGAAGCCATTTTGCGAATCGGTGGGGTCATCAGTAGGAAATTATTCTAAGTTAAAATTCAGCGATGTCTCCAACGATGCCTCACATCGCTCCTCATCGGCAACCCATCATTAACACATCTTTCACGGATCGGCCGATATATATGGCCGAGCATCGTCCAATATCCGTTGAATCAGAGGTCATCGGGGGGTTGAGTGGTGTCCAACAGATAACGGGCGATCATCGGTCGATGATCGACCAAACATTGGTCCGTAGTCAACCGATGTTCGACCGATGTTCACCAAGGCATGAGCGATCTAATATACATTGGCCGATTATCCTGGGACATTGTTTTATGATTAGCAATGCTTCGCTGGGCCCTTGAAAGTCCGACCGGCAACCACGCCATTTTTATCATAAAAGGCATTGGTTGCCAATGAATACCCATCGCTGGATAAAGTGACTGATTCTGTGAGGACTACAAAGCCTATGTGGACCGATTTAAGGACATTGTTAAATCCACGGATTACCAACAATTACCACCGGTCTACGACTACCGGTCGGGAAATGTGATCTAGCATAAATGACGGACTGACTAATGACCTAACGAACTGTCTGGTAAGGGTCGGAAGAGGATCGATGGTTGCTCAACGGAGCGCTCAACGACAATTACTTAAATCGGCTTCCGACGCCAAAATAAAAATCGTGCCTGACAGGCACAGTTTGGTCGACCGACGAAAAAAGGGGTCAAAATCGGTCAAGACAAGGCCAATAACCACTCGGCTGTATCGAAGAATCCGACTTTCGCCTCAAAATCTTCGACCATTGACCGTTTTCGGAAATGTAACTGGGGTTTTACTCTACAAATGATTTTGATACAGTAAGTTACTTTTTATAAGTATGATTTAAAAGATAAACGTATTGATAGAAAATGTAAACGTATTGATAGCGATGTAAGAAAGATATAACGTTTGATTGACGTAAAACAAACAAAATAAAACTGACTTACCTTGATGGTCAGAGTTGAAATTTAGAAGAGCATTTGAATAATAAGATTCCGCTTTATGGAGTCTAGTTTGCGGGCGCAGGTGCGTTCACTGAAAGCATTTTGACAAAACTTTATATTGGAATACATAATTATATGAGTACATGTACATGTACAAGGGCTGTATAAACTATATTTTGTACCAGCATGTATGAAACCCTCTGAACTGATTTTTTATGTACCTATGCAAACACAATGAGTGTTTATCCTGTTAAATAAGCATTAACTTGTGTTAATATTACATGTATGAATGCCTCCAAAAATCCCTACGTGTAAACCTCGCAATAAGGACAGATGATGCAAACAATTTTTTCTTTGGAGGAGACTTAAAATTATGTCACACGTTTAAAAAAAATGGACAATTCTCATAACTTTTCTCTTCAGAGCTGGAAAATGAAATAGACTTATATAAGTAATATTTCAATGAAATTACAAATATGGACAAAACAATCCCAGTAAAGTTTTACAGATGAAAACAAATTTCAGAATGTTACCTTGTTGCTAAAGGTGTTATATAAACTTTAGAAACATATACCAAGCCAGGTGAATTTTACGAGGAGAAACAAAATGAAAAAAAAAATCACCAATATCACATCGGTTGATTTTTACCATTTTGCTTTTCCTATCAAAATTAACCCGGCTTGATATATTTTTATAAAGTTTTTAAAGATTATATTACAATTTCTTTTACCAAGGTAACCAATTCTGAAATTTGTTTGCTAATGTAAACGTATACTGAGTGTGCTTTTGATTTTCATTGAAGTATTATCATTTAATTTCATTTTTCAATTCTAAGAAGAAAAAGAGTTGTACGCTTTTATAAACCTATAATATGATATAAAGTCTCCTCCAGAAAAAATGTGTTTGTATCTTATGTACTTTGTTTGTATCATATGTACTTAAGCTTTTTAAAAATGTATGCATGCGAATGTATATATATATATATATATATATATATATATATATATATATATATATATATATATATATATATATATATATATATATATATATATATATATATATATATATATATATATATGCATGTACATGTATACATGTGTAATGCATAACTGATCTTGTCGTCATTTGTGAAACAAAAATAAATCTGGACCCCAAATTCCTAATTTACATCTGAGCATGTGTACAATTCAGTTTTATCGAATTATAATTGAATCGACTCTTGTGAAACATTCTCCTGAGTACAATTTTCTTTACATAGTATTTTTCTACTTCTTAAGGTCTTAGCCCATCAGAGATATAGGAATTATTCAATCATATAATAATATTGTTCATGATTTATTTTTCTTAATTATTAATATTTAAGATAACAGACAATAAAAAATATTCTAATTGAATCTATTTTGGGATTCGTTTGATATTCTTTGTCTCTTTGTAGAGGAATTTAAAATACAATTTATATTGCTTGACAAAAATGGAAACACTGTATTTGGATTCAACGAAGGAAATCGGTACAGCAGATTGGTCTATGGTCACAGTGATATAATTTTGGATATTGCGATCAGTGGAGATTCAAGTTGGTTTTATTTTGCAACATATGACTCAATAGTGCAGTATTCAATGGACAATAGCAACGGTTCTACCCTGATAGACATAAAAGGTAATAATAATTTTAAAAAATGCCCATGGACTACATCGCTCACCTGAGCACATGGGCTGGTGAAAAAACACAAATCAGTTCAGTATGGAAACGTTCACTTGTTGGAGCGGGGGGGGGGATAAAATTTTCTATTACACGAGAATATCATTATATCAATAAGCATAAGATTATAACCTTGCCATGCTTGAGAAGAAGATTTTGAAAGATTTTTTTAACGTTTTACTTGATCTCCTGTTGTGACCTCACCCTATCCTTAGGGTTATGATATGAACAACCTTTAATCTTCACTACCTGAGGATGTTTCCACATGAGTTTCATCTATCCATGCCCAATGGTTCTAGATAAAAAGATTTTCAAAGATTTTTCCTATATACTCCTATGTAAAACTTTGATCTGCTATTGTGGCACCGCCCTACCCACGGAGGGTCATTATATGAACAAACTTAAATTTACACTACCACAGGCTGCTAGTAAATCAGTATCATTTTTCCTGGCATAATGATTCTGTAGAATAAGATTTTTTTTTTAAATGTATATATATTTCTATGTTTAACGTACGTCAACCATTGTTGCCCTGCCCTACGCACGGGGGTCATGATTTGAAAAAAAAAAACTTGAATCTACACTACCCGGGGATGCTTTCACATGAGTTTCATCTTACCTGGTCTAAGGGTTCTGAAGAAGAAGATTTTTTAAGATTTTTCCAATATATCCCCATGTAAAACTTTGATCAGCCAATGCGGCCCCGTCCTACCCTCGGGGGTTATGATTAGAACAAACTTGAATGTGTACTACCCGAGGATGCTGCCACAAAAGTTTCATTTTTCCTGGCCTACTATATCTGGAAGAGAGGATTTTAAAAGAATTTTCCTATATGTTACCATGTAAAACGTTCATCAGCCAATGTGGTCCCACCCGACCCCCTTGGGTATGATTTGAAAAAAAAAAACTTAAATAAAGCCTACCCCAAGATGCTTCTACATGACTTTTATCTTTCCTAGCCCAATGGTTCTGGAGAAAAAGATTCTTAAGAGATGTCAATGACTTTTCAGTAATTCATATTATCTCCCTTTGGTAAAAGGCTTGGCCCCTAATTTAAACAAACTTTAAACCCCTTTACCCAAGAATACTTTCTAGCAAGTTTGGTTCTTGAGAAGAAAAAAAATGAGAAAATGTGTATGACAACAACAATGTTGCCAACGTTGACAACGACGAGAGAAAACAAAAAAAAATTTGATCAGAAGCTCACGTGAGCTAATACTGTAATAATACAACTGTAATAATAATAATAATAATAATAATAATTATTATTATTATTATTATTATTATTATTATTATTATTATTAGATTTAAAAGAATTGTAAGAGATCTTCTTTATATGAACCTAATACATTTTTAATTTTTCTAATAATAAACGTTCATTAATGACGCATTAATTTGTTTTAAGAATAACCATTAAATCAGCATTACCAAAATTTTGTTGACCGTGATAAAAGTTTTAATTTGGTGAAGGAATAAAAGAGTTTTTTAAATGATTAATTACTAAATTAATTTCAAAGTAAAGTGCATTCAAGTGTCGTCGACAAAAAAATTTTACCGTTAAAAAAATACATATTTCAACTTATATTTTCATTATTATAGTTGAAATTATAATTAAAACAATGTGTTGTTGGTTATATATCGTTTTGATCTATATGACAGTGAAAATAAAATACAAGAGAAATGAAAGATAATTCAAAGCCTACGATCTCATTTAAATTTCCTAGATGAAAGGCTTTTTGAGATGTGCTGTCAAATAATTACTGTATACAGGGAAATTTTTGCCCCCGTTTAATTTTCGCCCCTTTCGCCCTTGTCTGGCGTGGGCGAATTTAAAACGGGGCGAATTCAAAGTAAACTGTATAATATCTTAAACAAAAATCTTTTTGGGCGAATAAAAAAAGGGGCAAATTTGTTTTCAGATGTGAAAGGGCGAAAATAACACGGGGCGAAAATAACCCAGTATACAGTATTAGCATATACATGTACCTGCACTAGCATATTTTTCTAAGTAAAATGAAAATATATGTATTATTTTAAAGTTTTCATTAAGTTCTATTTGTCGGATTAAATAATATAATTTATAATTTTAAGGGATACAAGCACAGTTTTTCTGTTTTGACATCCAAACAAACTCGGTGATAATTATTGGCGAGACTTCTCAGGGTTATTTATTGCACCTTCAGCGCATTGATGCAAACCGAAACATAACAAAAGTACATCTCCCATATGTGGAACATCCAACAGAAATAACGTGCGTAGCAGAGAAAAGGTATTTGTTATTATGATCAATATATATATTTGACGTCAAGACACAGATATTAATTAATAACAGAATGTACTACAGAGACCAAATATTTAATTTTGTGATGGAGAATTAATGTATGAATCCATATTTCACTCAAAGAATAAAGAATTGTAGATACATGTAGTACATGTTAAAAAGAAATCGTTAAAGCTATTTCAATTCGAATTCACACATGTCGGTTTGTTAGACAAAAACATTTTCAAGGATTTAAATTTACTCATGATTATACGAGGGCTGTTCAACAAATAATGTCCTGAACTGCTTGACATACAATACAGCTATCATATTACATTAAACTTTACTTTTTCTAATAGTTGAATCTTTAATGAATTTATAACAGTTTAAGTGACCGCTTTTCATCACATAGTTTCATTGTGAGAGGCTGAGAAACAAGGGCTTTTCGAGACACTGCATTATAAATGAATTGTAAAGAATCGGTAAACTCGAGTGAAAATAAAAGCTTCATCAAAGCTCCTGTAAAACTTGTTAAAAATCCAAAAGAAATATTTACTGAAATATGTGACATTTATAGCAACTAATACCTGTTTTAGAGACAACTAAGCAGGTGGATTTAAGTGATAAAAAATTATATAATGGGCATCAAAAATGGGTACCGTCCTTGCCAACAAAAATTATAACAACTTATGTACTGTTTGCCAAATTTCAACAAATAATACTTGATGATGTAGGATTGACATTAAGACACATAGAAAATTTGATAGACATCACATCGGGGGTAGTTTACACTTTTTTAAAGAAACGTTTGACGGTAAAAAAGCTTAGTACTCAAAGGTCACCCTATATTTTGAAAAATGAGTTAAAACGACAGCGTGTACGAATGTCTTTCCATTTTAGAAAAAATATCAATGATTGGAGTTATCCACGTTGTTTTGATATTCAAACCGATAATGGAACTTGAATCTATTGCTTAAAATCCTCAAAACAAAATTTACGATAAGATGTACTTGACAAAACAGCGAAGGTCTGGTGAGAGCAAAGAATTGCAAGAGCACAGAGAGGTATTTTTATGCAATTTTCTTAAATATTAGTGGTATTGTTGTTCAAATTCGTATTCGAGGAGATAGTTTAATTTCTAGAGGAGTCTAGAAAGCAAATTGTTTGCAAAAAAAATCGAAAGATTTACTAGAGGAATGACCCAGAATCAGGAATCCGCTACATTAAATTTCTCCATGACAGCGTCCAAACCCACATGCCCTGAAGAGTAAAAGGGTTTTCAGGATTAACAGATATTTTTTCACATTAACAACATTCACCAGATCTTAGACCTTTCTATTTCCAAACTTGAAAAAAAAAACACCTTTAATAAGGAAGAAACAAGTCCAGGAAATCATTGAATCTGCCATTTTCCAGTATACTAAGGGTCATACCCAAAATTGAGTTCTACCAACAATCAAAAATTGGATTAAAAAAATGGTACGGACATGTGTTTTAATTAAGAGAGATTAATAAGTAAAATAATGAAGATTAAATCATTAAAAAGCGTCTTTTGCTTCTTTCCGAGCACCGAGGACATTATTTATTGAACAGCCCTCGTATATACTACGGGCTTTTGAAAAGAGTAAAGTTGCTTTTAAACATGATTTAGCCAGAGCTGTACTTTAACTGTTTTACACACACTTTTTGTTGAATTTTTTTTTACAAAATTTCAGATTTATTTTATGTCATTTTTGTTTAAATACACGTATAAACTATATATTAGTTAATGTTGACCCATAATATGACGCATTAAGAATAATTGAGAAAAAAAATTTTTGTTCTACTCATTTAAATAATAATTAAAAAAACACAAATTTTTAATAATAATTTAACCTACAGAAAGATAAAGGTATTTGACATCCTCCTAGGAGAAGTTACGCTTGGTATCCCATACCACTCTGCGACCAGCGCAGAAACCAGATTTTCGATAACCTGAAAGTAATTTACAATCATGGAAGATAAAATGTTTTGACTATAAAAAAATTAATTCACAATTGGAAACTCTCAGATCGGAATAGACCATAACAGAAAAATTTTGTGGTCTTAATGCAAGGTCATTTGGACAATCTGACTATTGTCTTTCTAATGGTGAAAAATTGGAAGTTATTACCTCATTCAAGATTGCTGTCCTTCTAAAAAGAAAAATGATCTAGACTTAAGGCCAGAACTGCCTTTTTCAACTCAAACGGAAAACCAACTCATTTTTTGTGAGGAGCAACGAATTCAGACAAGACAACATATGGGGATATGGGGCTTATAATTAAAATGTGTTTATTTACATCAATGAATCTCGAAATATATTGACAGAGTTGCTGTAATATCACATGGGAATGAGCTTGTCATATTTGAAATAGAAAATTTAACGTGGACAACACTCCAAACACCCTATCAAGAGGCACATTTACGTCTTGCAGTTCATCAAACAGGTATTTCATTATTTAAATTTAAAACGAATAGATTAATTTTTTTAATGGAAAGTGTTTTAAATATTCTTTTCGACATTAACAGATAACGACATCTTCTGTGCAGAAACAAAACAAAATGAAATATTCCGATTAAGCTATGATGGAAAGTATTTTACGAAGGTGTATGAAGGGAATGAGGGAGAAATAACAGATTTTGATGTAGATCATACATTTGTTTACGTTCTGACAAAGAATCCGAGGTATTTCTTTACTTAAAACGAACATTCTGTTTTGAAAATCAATATAGATATACAATAAACAGAATATGATAAATTTATATTTATTATTAATAATTGACATGTATTTGCATTGTAGACAAATTTTAATGATAAACAAATCTGATGGAAGTATCTTTTCAAGATTGAATTTATCCCAAATGATTGGACATATTTCAAAAGTCATTTTCATTCCTGTTAAAACAGAATGAAACACTCAAAAAAACACAGGTTTCTCTCTCTCTCTCTCTCTCTCTCTCTCTCTCACTCTCTCTCTCTCTCTCTGTAATTTTTGTAACTAATTAATATATTATGTGTTGGAAATTAAAGAAAATATAATCACTTCTTATAGTAAAACTTGAAAACAACAAAATCACATTGTAATTCACAATAACTTTGTATTTTTATAGGAGATGGAAAAAATGACCCAGGCATATCCATATGGGTACAAATAGTTGTCCCCATTGTGCTAAGTTTTGTAGTAATTTTTGCCCTAGTTATTGTCATTTTACGAAGAAAAGGAAGGACAGATAGGTAATTTAAAAAAGTATTATTTACTAGTATTCCACAGTCCATGCATGTTTTTTTATTGATTGACTTTGGTTTAAAATGGTTAATTTCTTTTTTCGGCTATTAAAAAAGGTGCATCTATGTTTTGTCATTTATAAAGCAAGCTTTTTTAAAAACATTTTTAAATAGACCTCTTGAATCTAAAACGCCTGTTTTGTTTAAGACATTTGTAAGAAAACCAACACTTATCGTGATAGAAATATTGTTAATTATTTGTTCCTTTTTCAAAATTCTACATAATGTTGTGATGATGTAATGTTTAGTATCTTTAGGATCTCTCTCCATGTAAATAAAGCATTTTCATATATCACGTGGAACATAATATATATCAATATTCTTTGATGTCCCCATAAATTTCAATCGGCCATGTTGACTGTAATTTTAGAATCTCATTTTTGCCTCTGAATTATTGAATCTATCTAAAAATACTACAGCGTTAAAGATAAATTTTTCTTCATATAAAATCAAATCTTAAATATCAGTTCCTCGGCAATTTTTGTAAAAAGCATAGTTTTCAGATACGCTGTTATTTTCATCTTCTTGGCCAGGGGATTATTTTTAAACAGTTTTGCGCTCAGTGTAGAGATCATGCTTACTTTAAAAGTGAATTTCTTTGCGAAAACAAAAGAGAAATACAATTTTTTCTTTGTTTAGGAACTCTTCCATAGAAACTTTGAACTGTGAAAAAAAATAAAATCAAATGCCTACACATGTACATGTATTATGCTATACTGTATGTTGCACTACTTAATGCACGACCCTCGTATTACAAATGGAAAAATATGTTAAAGAACATAATAATCAATGTTTCTCATGTTAACATCGCATTCCATGCATATGGGTGTATTCTTTAATCTGCTGTATAATAATGAATTCAAAAAATGTTATAGTTTCAAGAACGGATTACGCAATCTTATTCATAATTTATTTCGATTTTCCCATTTCATTTTGATAACGTTTACAATTGAAAAGCAGAGAAACCTGTTTTTTTATTATTGTCGAAAATTAATTTGAGGAACATGTTTAAGCCCTTTGTATTTTTAAATAACTGATTAATCTAGCATTTGTATCCATTATTGGATTCCGAAAACTAAGTTTTGTTTCTTTTACGAACATTATCGATTTTTTATGTCATTACCCACTACTCATTGGCTGCATCATTGGACTTGATTGTTTATGTGCGGGATTTAAGGGATAGTCCGCTGCATTTCATTTCCGGAAATACACAAAGCATTTCCGACATTTTTTGTTTCATTTTCGACATTTTCTTGTTTTCATTTCCGATTAATTCTGTTTTCATTTCCGGATTTCACCTTTGCGGCAATTTAATGTTGAAAACAAGTTAATCTATTTAAAAAAAGATAGGTGAGCTTGCACCGTAGCAATTTTCAAACACAGAAAGGAGGATCCGTAATCAAGTAACTTATTTTGCTGAATTCTTTAATTTTTATCGAGGCTGGAGAGTAATAAAGTTATTATTGTTTTATAAAGTATATTTAATAGACACATAGTTAAAGAAACGAGAGGGTGTTGTGTTGTCCTATTGGAGTTTTGGCGCAACGGAAATTTATTACCTTTACAGGAGAGGGGGAGACTCTATATAATATGGAGATGATGCCGATTGAGGCATTGTATGAGCTGAATTAAGAACAGAATTTCTTGGCAATGTAGCAAAGAAAGTACAGGGGAGTAAAAAGTGATATAGAAAATAACTTAAGGTGTATTTTGTATAAAGAAATCAAGAAGGATCTGAAGTAGCTTGGTCCTCTGGGTCATCTTTGTTCAGAAATGTAAGGTTAAAAGCCATACACATCAGAATGGTTTTTTTTATATAAATAATGGATTAATTCCTTATTTTTGTGTAAATTCTTGTTTCTAGAATTTGTAAGATTGACTGAATTGACCTATCAGAAAAAAAGAGTCTATCTAAAAACCCGGAAAATGTGAAGTATTACTAAAATGTAGTGTAATCTTTAAAGTGTAAGCTACAAAATAAATAAACATAGTTATTTAATGCTACAAGACGATACAGCTAAATTGTTATCGTACGGTCTATCTATAGTAGTTTTCGCAGTTTTCCCAGAATGCACGACTGTGAAGCCGAGCATGCATATTCGAGGAATTTGGACTAACGTAGTTGCTAGCGCTCGAGAGCGATAGCAATAAATCTACACATATATGTAGCACTAAGTCTACGTTAAAGAGTTCGTTTAGCATATAAAACATTTAATGTGCAATAAATTGAATGTCAGTGACAACACCTAGCTTATGTTTAAGTCAGAAATTGTATTCCAATGATTTATCCCTTTACATTTTTTTCATAGATGAATTCTTTAAGGACTTTAGCAACGCTTTTGGCTTTCGTATAGAATTTTTCAAGATTTTTTGAGCAGGTTTAAGGTACCAAATATGTTCGATTCAGGCCCTTTTACCCATCAAGCCAGCCTTCCTTTATAGATTTTGTCAAATCAATATTTTTGCAATTTTCAATGTGTCTCCTATGTAAAATGGTGATAAAATGGGCCTATATTATTGCTAACCATACGTTTTCTCCAAAACCAATTTTTTTCAAAAGGTTTATACATAAATTACATTGTTGAAACCTTATTTCCGTTGACATGCATATACATGTACTTAGGCTGAAAATGCAAACATTGAAACAAAACACAGCGATATCAGCACTGTTTCTTTAATTTTGAGTTACTTCCCTTAACATCTAATCAATATTCATTATGATCAAGAGACGGTTATTTGTTTCCATTCTATAATTTACTTTATAAGAAACGAACTGTCATAAATCATGTTTGCAAGGATTTATTAATAACTTTTAACAATGCCTCCTTCACATTACCTATAGAATCGTTCTCATCCGGTCTACCTAGTTTCACCACTTTCGGTACATGTATAATTACATCACATCTTTGCACGTCCCAGCATTCATGTACCCATTCTAAATGACGACCTGTTGACAGTCTGCCCCCTCAGCACAATGTAAACAAACCCATCGCTACTTTTTAGCTCACCTGAGCTGAAAGCTCAAGTGAGCTTTTCTGATCACACTTTGTCCGGCGTCCGTCTGTCTGTAAACTTTTCACATTTTCGACTTCTTCTCAAGAACCGCTGGGCCAATTTCAACCAAACTTGCCACAAAGTATCCTTGGGTGAAGGGGATTCAAGTTTGTTCAAATGAAGGGCCACGCCCTCATTCAAGGGGAGATAATTGGGAATTAATGAAAATTTGGTAGCATATTTTAAAAATCTTCTTCTCAAGAACCACTGTGCCAGGAAAATTGAAACTTATGGGGAAACATCCTCAGGTAGTGTAGATTCAAGTTTGTTCAAATCATTACCCCTGGGGGTAGGGCAGGGTTAAAATGGCCGACCTAAGTTTTACATAGAAATATATAGGAAAATTCTTTAAAAATCTTCTTCTCAAGAATGACAAAACCATAATTCATCATATTCATATGGAAACATGCTTAGGTAGTGTAGATTTAAGTTTGTTTAAATCATGACCCCGGGGATAGGGCGGGGCCAAAATGGCAGACCAAAGTTTTACATAGAAATATATAGGAAAATTCTTTAAAAATTTTCTTCTCAAGAATGACAAAGCCATAATTCATCATATTTATATGGAAGCATGCTCAGATAGTGTAGATTCAAGGTTGTTCAAATCATGACCCCCGGGGGTAGGGCGGGGCCAAAATGGCCGACCAAAGTTTTACATAGAAATAGATAGGAAAACTCTTTAAAAATCTTCTTCCCAAGAATGACAAAGCCATAATTATCATATTTATATGGAAGCATGCTCAGGTAGTGTAGATTCAAGTTTGTTCAAATCATGACCCCCGGGGATAGGGCGGGGCCACAATGGCCGACCAAAGTTTTAAATAGAAATATATAGGAACATTCTTCAAAAATCTTCTTCCCAAGAATGACCAAGCCATAATTCATCATATTTATATGGAAACATGCTCAGGTAGTGAAAATTCAAGTTTGTTCAAATCATGACCCCCGGGGGTAGGGCGGGGCCAAAATGGCCGACCAAAGTTTTACATAGAAATATATAGGAGATTCTTCAAAAATCTTCTCCCCAGGAATGACCAAGCCATAATTTATCATATTTATATGGAAGCATGCTCAGGTAGTGTAGATTCAAGTTTGTTCAAATCATGCCCCCCAGGCGTAGGGCGGGGCCAAAATGGCCGACCAAAGTTTTTCATAGAAATATATAGGAAAATTCTTCAAAAATCTTCTTCCCAAGAATGACAAAGCCATAATTATCATATTTATATGGAAGCATTTTTAGGTAGTGTAGATTGAAATTTGTTCAAATCATGACCCCCATGGGTAGGGCGGGGCCAAAATGGCCGACCAAAGTTTTTTAAGATATATACATGTATAAGAAAATTCTTTAAAAATCATTTTCTAATAAATAGCAAATCCATGATTGGTCATTGGACTATTTTTGGATTTAAACTTTACAATAAAATTTTCTACTTTTTCCTACCCTTAGTGCTCAGGTGAGCGATGTGGCACATGGGCCTCTTGTCTTTTATTATTGTAGAGTTAAATACGAGGGTTGTCCCGTAAAATCGTGGACTAGTTGTCTAGTGTAAAAAATAAACATTACTGCGTTCTGAAATTTTGACTATTATTTAATACATAATTTTATAATATACACAGTAAATTTCAGATAAATATACGCATAAATAAACAAATTATGTGATTTTATGCAATGTATTGTATCATCTTACGGCGCAAGGATTATACCGTGATATAGTGTTTAAAACAGCGTCACGTTTTATCTTTTCTAAAAATGAAGTTGGATGAGTCCGACTTAAATTTAGGAATTTCATTGATACACATTCTTTAGTCTCCATAAACAGCCGAAGAACCATTTGGCACCCTCATGCGATCTTCTGAAGATTTGTTAGTAGGTTACGGGCAATATTCTCACCATCATTCAACTAATAGAAAATCTCATATCGGTGGACTACTGTGACAGCGTTTTTTGCTATTACATTAGGAGTTTGTCCGTATGTTTTGTACTCCGCAGGGACTCGATCAATAAAAAAATCGCTAAGAAAACTCCTAGTTCATTTGTATACTTAAAATATGGTGATATTTTTATAATCTTTTTTCTTCTATTGTCATTTCAAGTCTCTAAAAGTGTCATTACAATATCGAATTAAAACGGAACTACTCTCCGGTGTCCGTAACGTCATAAAACGTCGCCATTTTTCCTGTGTTGTGTTTACCACTTTCCCATTTCGAATGCTCGAGAAACTGCCAAAAATTAACCAAATGCCTTAAAAGTTTTACATAAACTACAAAATTGATTGTGGAATTGAATAAGGATAATTTTAATCCAAATCTTATGTATTTAAAACTTTTATTTTGAATTCAAACTTGTGTATTCTTTAATAAAACCTTGGTTTTGTTTACCGTGCGCCGTAGGACAATACCCCGTGCACATTCAAGCATAATAAAATCTTTATTTTTCCCTATATTTTATAAAAAAAAAAAATTAACATGCACTTAGATATAATAAAAAAACAATTACTGAAAATTTCAGCTAAGTGCGCCCATAACTTTTGGAGAAAAACACTTTGTCCACGATTTTACGGGACAACCCTCGTATATACGATTAAAAAAACACGTGCTTGTGTTTACCTCTCAGCCTGTAACATATGCTTTATTTGTTTTCAGCGCCTAGAGAATTCCAAACGGGAGATCACTCTCAATGACTTTTTTTTTCATAAGTGAAAAAACCTTTGTATAAACCTTTCATTCTCCGTAAACCCTTCGTTGCCAATGACCTTTAATTTCTTTCTAAAGGTACTATCGGAAAAATTCAAAATAATGTCGGAAATAAAACTTAAAAAAATGTCGGAAATGAAAAGTTGAATTTTACCAAAAATTCCAGAAATGAAATGCAGCCGGATGGTCTGTCGTGGCGGCGGATCAAACAGATTATGTAGTAATAGTTTGCCATTCCTACTTACGACGTTTGGAAGTTTATACAGCTCAACAGAACATTCTAAACTTGTGATTGGACACTGGTCAGGACAATGTCGTTTATTCAATACAGTAAGTGACGAAAAAATAAGTTTTACAAACAAGAAGGGTAGGGGAATCAGCAAACATCAAACATTTTGCAAATATAAATATATGTATACATTTTATAAGGTATGAACACATACTTTCTGATATCCTCCATGGAAAATAGGTCACAAAGAATACTTTAGTCCTGACTAGATGCGACGTAAAAACTTTTTAAAAAAATATATATATGACTTACAAAGAGCAATTAATGGCGACAAATATGGCCTTACAATAGACAAAGGATGTTTAAAAAAAATAGTGACATTAACAAAATCTTGAAAAAGAAATAAATTGGAAAAAATTTGTTGTGCATTATGGTCAGACTTCAATATCCAAGGGATGTCTCAGATAGCATGCCTATGTTGGACCAACATTGGCGAGAGGTTGTATGGTTGGCGTTGGGGGATCAACGCTGGGCCAACGTTGGACCAATGTTACAATGCTAACCATCTCGACCATGACATAATTCTTCTGTTGACCCAACGTTGGTCCAACATTAGCCACTTCCATTCACTTTACTTTCCAAGGAAGGAAGAATGTTGATGTTTGCCCAACGTTGGCCCAATATTTGTTATATACCCTTAAAAAGTGTCTTTTAAAGTTGGTAGTAGTATGTTGGCCAAACGTTGCCCCGATGTTTGTAATACACGCATAAAAAATGAGTCTTATCAAGTTGGTAGTAGTGTGGTGGCCCAACATTGGCCTAATGTTTGCAATACACTCTTAAAGAAAATGTCTTATCGAGTTGGTAGTAGTATGTTGGCCTTACATTGGCCCAATGTTTGTAATACACCCTTAAAGAAAGTGTCTTATCAAGCTAGTAATGGTATGTTGGCCCAACGTTGGCCAATTGTTTGTAATACACTCTCAAAAAAGTTCTTTTCAAGTTGTTAGTAGTATGTTGGCCCAACGTTGGCCCGATGTTAACACGAATGTTCTCTTGTTTAGGTGGCCCAATTATAATACTGCCAACTAAATGATGGTGTCAATTTTAGCTGCTGAGCTTTACTTTGAGACAACATTGGTTCTGATATAAGTATTAATTTAGATGCACATTCTGAAATAATTAAGAGGACATTCTTTGTCAATGCTTTTAACTGGATGACTGTTTTTGTTGAGATCTGATATTTTCAACATTTCAACTTTGAACAAAAGTGATCAAAGCACCAAAGAAGGTTTTATTATATTTTTGAATGGTTTCCATGCATGCTTATTTATTTGAAATTAATCCTATGAATTATGAATTTTTACATGAGCGTTGTATTCATGAGAATTTAGACAAGACCTAATAAGTTCTCAGGAGCAGGATGTGAATGAAGCCAAAATATACATAAACCAAATGACACAGGTTTATAATGAAATTGAAACAAAAGTTAGGCGTTCGCTAAAGCTTGAAAGTGGCGCGGCGATTTAAACAACAAACTGTGGAGTGAGCTGTCAAATTCAATTGCTCACAGGTGGTGAAAGACTGAAAATGCAGGGCAAGTAAGAAGAAGTTGAATTCAAATTTGTGGATTATACACTTGCTAAAGCTGCATTTAGAAGCAATGTAAGTATATTTAATCTTATTTTTTCAGGTCTACTGTTGAAATTGATTTGGAATTCATTTTTTTCATGTTTTTGCACACAAACACTGTAAGTTAATGTAAATGCAAATAGTTTTATGATTTATGTGTATACATTTTGCAAATATATGTATTTCAAACTTTACTTACAATAACTTCTAGAGCTAATTAAAATGAAATGAAAAACAAGTTAAATAACATATTGTAAGTTGTTTCTATCTTATTCTTTACTGTCTTTTACAGACTCGATTGTAACAAGGCAATTAAGGTTTATAGATCAACATGCACTAATAGTATAATACATCATTCATTAAAAGACTTCATTTGAAGTTTATTATTTATTCATTAGTTGGACCAGTAATTGTATTGTTTCTAAAATCAAATTATTTTGTATTTTCATCAGAGACTGCAAAACAAATGTTGAGGCGGTAAATAACAATGAAATCAAAGAACAACATAAACATAATGAAGTTTATGAAGTACGAGTCCGTATGACAAAGATCAAGATGAAGAAAACGGGAGGCGACGAAGGGACGAAAAAAAGAGCGGGAATACAACAAAAGGACAGTGATAGAGGAAGTGAGCCCTGATTTAGAACTTTGAATTGATAATTTTTCATACTTTACCTCAATTGTCTATTTTATCATTTTATAGATTGTGATTGGTGTATATAAAATATTTTCACAGTGAAACATTAAAACATTAGTAATGTTTTCATTGAACATGTCCATGTATGCATTATAAATGCAGGTTGAATTGTGTATTATTTTTTTTAAAGTCATGAAATGGGTTTATGTAAAGAATCACTTAATCAATTGCAAATGTTTCTATGTAATAATAATTTTGGCCCAACAATTTACCATCTGACATTGTAACAAAGAGTCAACATTGGGCCTAGTTCTTAAGGTTGGCTGTTAGTTGGCATAAACTAAAAATTACATTGACCCAGCAATATGCCATCTGACATTTCAATCAGAACGTATATGTTCATATCTTGTAAAATGTATATACATGTATTTATATGTGAAAAATGTTGGCTTTTGCTGATTTCCCCCTTGTTGTTAAAACTTCATTTTCGTCATTCAATGTATTGAATAAGCGACATTTTCATTCTCACAGATAATTGTCCTGTCGTATTTGAAATAAAATTCGTAACAAAACAAAGCAGCGGTGAGCTGTTTGTACATGTATCTAGAAAAGAGTGATGGACATAAATATAAATATGAACTAATAGTACAGACGAAAAAATATATATGATCGTGATCAATTGTACTCAAAAACTTTCAAAGACCTCAATAAGTTCATTTCAAGAATATCAATACAATATATTTACTTTTTCAGTAAATCTTTAGAAGAAAAAAAGAAAAAAGACGATGGTGCTAGACATCCACCTCGCCCACCAGAAAGGTTCGACATGAGATAGTCCATTATTTAAATTAACTATTTTGTAGAAAGATAGTAAAGCAAAACACACAACATGATGGGGAAGTAGTGCGTTCTCAGTGGAAATTATTTACCATTATAGAGTGAAAAAATAGATTGATATCAATGTGTTACAAAACCCTTCTTGTTCATTTGATTTATTCGAAAACATCGAATTTGTCTAATCTATCTGTTCCAAATTGACATAATGAAACGTATGATCCTCTGTTACTTCTATGTAAAACCTGTTAACATTTTCACATCCCTTTATTTGTCTTTCAGAAAGTTCTGTTTCATTCTCATTTAACTCGTCATATGAGTGTGCTGGTCTTTCAGTTGTAGTTACAGTATCAGGATTATCGTACTCGATGTTGAGAGATTCCATAGATTTTTTTTCCTCTTGTTTACATTGCCTTTTGATTTCTTTCTTTGTGATGGGTAATTGTCCACCATTTGTCTTCTTCTTAATACATTTTACTAGCATGATAAGAAAGGACAATGTCCCAAAACCCAACAAGAACGTCCAGAATGGTGTATAATCTAATATCTGATGCTTTTGATTTGGGGTACTTTTCTCATTTGTATAGTCCTTTTGACCTTCAGAGATAAAAAGAATAAGGTATTATATTACATGATTGTATATATCTCATGGTTTGTTGTTGGATTTGATTTTGTTCTACAAGTGGTGATTTTATCCCCGGGCATTGGCAATTGGGATGAATCACACAACATGTTTGATAAAAAAAAAAAAAACATATTTACTATTAACCATAAAGAATTTTCTAAATGTAAATCCACACATTTGACTTGATTACATTTATGCATTTCATGTATATTCAAGATTTTGATGTATGTTTGTATTTTTTTGCTGTATTTTAGACTCATTTCTTCGTATACTTTATATGTAGTTGTTGATTGCGCGGTGTGTTGTATGTTTTGTATTTAACATTAAGAAAGTACAAGAACCTATACCTTGAGTAAATTAAATAATTTCCGAAGCCCGTTATGCATAAATTATCCAATGTTTATCACTAGCGTTGATGCCCTTGCATACGATACTAACTAGACAGTGATTCCTTATATTTCCATGAAATGATTTAGTAGATTTAGATTAGATAGGACAAAAACAAAAATTCCCCCGGGGGTATAAAAGCAAAACAGTAAAAAACAGTAATTTTACCTGTGACAAGTGGACACCCAGACTGAGGACTGCAAATTTCTTGACTGCAGTTGCATTTCTCTTTGCATTCTTCACCATACTGTGGGAATGTACATTCGAATTCACAATTCGATCCAAGGAAACCAGATCTGCAAGCTTGACAAAAAAATCAAGCATAAATGATGTAAACGATTTGTTGTAAAGAAACATTTATTATGTAACATACCGGATTTAGGTATGTTACTCTTAACAATCACTCTTTTTTATTACTTTTTTTTTACTCTGAATTCAAATGAAATAGAACACAAAAACACTAAACACTCTTACTTGTTACATGTAAGCAACCGGATACAGAACTGCAGATTGTTTTATTGCACTTGCATTCCATTTGGCAGTTTTGACCATAGTTTGGAAATTTACATTCAAATTTACAGCCTGGTCCAAAGAAACCAGCTCTACAAGCTTGCAAAAAAAGTTGTTTTTTAATTATATATCTATTTAAATCGCGTAAACCTTAAAGCTAACCAGTAACACCATATGACAAACTTTTTTAAACCATGATCACAATCAATGAATCAAAGTGCTAGAGAAAATTAAGAATGTATTCCGAATTTAAAATTAATGATCGTTAGATAATTTCTATTGTATTTTGTCTTTTTTCTAATGTGCATTTTTCTAAAAATAAATGATATTTTGATGTGATCTTACTGCTGACTTTTAACATCGTGGACTAGTACTGATTAGAAGCAACCCCATTCAACATATTTTAGTTTAAATGTATACATTTTCAAATCCGTGCGCATCGAATACACTGAAGAATTGTCTAGATATTGCTTACATTAATATGTTTGTGATAATATCACGTAACTTTGTTTATACATGTAACGTAAGGGCCATTTATAATTTTCAGCGTATCACATAAATCGCTTTGGCCCAGCCGATTACCACAATTATTTATTTTTTTTTTTGCTTCATATTGTATCCCTGTGCAACCAAATTGTTACAGGGGAAAATTCATAGTGTAACTTTATTTCAAAATAGTTTGAAGATATATATGCCGTATTAGTGTTTTATTGCTAAAGAAATAAATATCTGTAGTGTCTCATCAAGTTACAGTAGTTATGTAATTTCTGCAATTAAGACAATTCCACTCCATCACTTTTAAAAGTTATGAAATATTATTTTGAAAAAAATATTTTCTCTCCGAATCGGATATAAAATCGCCTCTTATTGAAATATTTATGAACACGTGGTCTCGCATGCTCACAGCAAACAATGGTCCAATCTCGTGAATGAGCCGAAAAGCATGATGGTCTACTACGTTTTGTCTACAAACACGTGGGTTAGGGAAATGTACGATGCGATTTCAAATGACGCCTGGAAAGCCAATTTACATTTTTTAAACCTGTTTTAGAAAAATAGGAAGAATAGTTACTAATTGAGAATTCCCATGCTCACATTAACAAAAAATGCAGTTTTTCTTGTTAGCATACTGTATGTTTCGAAGTTGTACACATTGTAAACATTGTCAATACGCGCACACACCTCAGAGTTATTGTTGTTTTTTGTACCGAGTTATATATAGTCACGTGATATTGTCTTTTCACTGTCAGTACAGCACAGGGGAACTGTAAACGAACGGACATGTACAATAGAGTGGGGAAAACTCTTATTTTTATCATTGTTTATTTGTATGCAAATGTTAGCATGGGATTAATAGAGGATAATGTACAATGCATTGAGCGTGTAAATGCTTGAGAAAATGCATCACCTCTTTCCGAAACCGATTTAAACACTTGCCTGTTCGAAAAACACATGCGGTTTCTATGTACTGAGTAGTACCCCATAAATGCATTAAATGCAACTCATTGAGCCGATTGTTTGATTTGTCAGTCTTGTTGGTTCATCACTGAACATACGTCACAAAAAATAGTTTCCTCGATCTGATGATTCTCGTGATGCTTTTCCCGCGCACATGCGCAGATCCAACATAAACGTCAGTCCTTTATAAATGTGCATGAGAATATCGTGTTCTTTTCCCGACTAGTACGTGTATTTTGTTAACACCGAATAATATTTGGTCGAATTTGCGAGAATGCTTCATTTTTGATAGCTTATCATACTTCAGAAATTTTTGTTTGGTTTCAGCTGTGCAAAAATGCTGTTTAAAACGGCATACACATCTTTAAGATAACATAAACTAAACGTCAGATGTGAGGGTATTTTCCCCACAAAATCGTAATGTGAATTAAAACAAAGTCATCACACATTTTTTCAAGCAAGATTCAGCTAGAGATCAAACCCCTCTTAAATTACAGATTTGCTCCAATATTAAAATTAACCCCCTTCCTCGTAGTCACGCATTTTAAAGCACATACCATTTCCTATTTCTAACGCAAAGTCAAGCATATACTGTTTCCCCACGCATTTTCACGCACTTTAAAAAGTTCTTTTAATATTTAATTTAATGCCAATCTCATTCTATTTTATACTTGCAAAAATCTCATAAATAAAGAAAAGTTATATTTGTATTAAAATTGTACGTCATAATATTAATTACGATAAATTTAAGAGAAACGTGTACCACGCTTTAAGGTGCTTGCGGGGAAATGGTAAATTTCTTTTTCTTTGACGTGAACATTAAGTGTATGTTGCATAACAGTTCAGTTAGTTGTAAAGAGTAAATCAACCCTAATCTAGTCTCTCCGCCAGACTATTATACGAACAATTAGAGTAGATTCCTTGAATTTTAATAATTTGCTGAACTGCGTTCTAGCATTTGGGAATCAATAAATTTTCGTTATAACACGGGGTTTAGATTGATTAAAAAAACAGTTTATATTATAATATTTACATTTCTAAAAGAAAATTCATTTAGATTCTTTGCAAACATGAAGAATATTCATTTGCTGATGAACTACCATGGCTAGGCATGAATATCTTAATTGTTAAATTATAATCCCGTATTTGACGTCAAAACAATAGTACAAACTGTTTTGCTTTAAATAT